GGCCAATCACAATGCACTGGGTCAGCTGGCCAATCAGAGCAGACTGCGCTTGTCGGAAGGAGGGACTTTGTAGAAAACGAAGCATTTGAGAGAGGCGGGGCATAGAGGACCTACAATAATGTACAGTATTTGAAAAATAATGTGTTTTTTGAACATTAAAGCATGTCAACATATTCTGTTACACCAAATACACAAAATAATGATCTTTAAAAAAGCATCACATGACCCCATTAAGACATGACCATTGGACAGCAAAATGCTCATTGGGTCAGCGGGGTCAGAAAAAAACAGGTGGAGAAGAATGTTAACTGCAAAAGATTTAAGAATTCATGTGAAGAATTAGGTGTAAAACCATCAGAAACCATTTAGTCTCCAGCGCCACCATTTTCCAGAACTGCAACCTACCTGGAGTCTCCAGAATTATAAGGTGTCAGGTTCTCAGAGACTTGGCTTGTGTAAAAAAATCCTAAAAAATTACCCTCACTTAAAAAGAATAACATGCTGAAGTGTTGTGAAATACATGAAGACTAATTTTTATAGGCTTTATGGACAGATACGTTGAGAGTGACTCTTGAAGGACCAGCACCACATCCTCTTGTACCACTTTTTGAAGAATTTCAAAAAGTGTGTGTGTGTGATCACTAACAACTCTTAAAAAATATAACCATAGTTTATTGTAGTGTTAACAATTATTCTAATTCTTTATCATTTTATTTCATATTAGCCACCACTACTTATCTAATAAAGGACTTATTCAAAACTGAAGATGGCTTTTTACACAATTTAAAGGAGATCCTATATTAAGTTTTATTTATCAGTCAGCCATTAAAAACAGAAGCTATGGAAGAGTATGTTAGAGTACTATGTGGAAGAGTTTCCACACCCTCAATATTGGCTATAAAGTTAGGTTGAATACCTCAGAGATGGTAACATCCGTTCTGTTGAGCTCCTTGAACCCGAGCCACCAGCGGATGTGGACTGGAGGATTACTAGAAGAAGTGTAACAGAGCAGATTGATCTCCTGTCCCTCTATGGCTTCAAATGTACCCAGCAACTTTACCTTGGCTGGCTCAACTGTGAGGAAAAGTGAATACCACGACACAAAGAGAAGCTAGATAAATGGACAGTCAGCAGATCTTTCCAGCAAATTGTTTAAACACGCTAGTCATGCCACAAAGGATTTGAGGCCATGAAGATATGTTCTCATGCTCCTCTCACAGTACTGAAATAATGATCTAGCTGATCAATGAAATTGTGAATGAAGTGTCTAGAGAGGTCTTCTAATAATACCCAACTGGAATCAGTATTTGTGCACACTAAGATATATTCTCAATAAGCCGTATGCGGCAATTAACGTAGATTTGAGATAAGAAAGGGTTGTTTGACATTGGAATTTGTTGTGACAAGACCGTCATGAACCATCCTCTGTTAATGAAAGATTACAGAAACTCCAAGTAGCAGCAAGTATTGACCTGATTTACTTGTCAGCCATGATACAGCCATGTGTAATTGGCTTATGGTAAGTGACAGTGTGTCATGAAAGATCAAGCTTTTGTTTTAAGGCTATTTTAAAAACTACTAGCAACAAGAGGCTTGTGGCCTTCTTAGAAGTTTGATGGGTTTTTGAGCAGAAGATTTTTTAAGATTATTAGCTATAATGTGTTCTGGACTACTCACAAAGGACGGTGAGAGTGCGAGTGAGGGACATTGGTGAACGAGACACTTGGTTAACGCTCTCGCACCGCAGCACAGCATGATTGTCCTCTAGCTTCACCTCCATTTTCAACACACTACTGGACCGACATGACACAACGTCCTCTTCCCAGCTTGTGGACAGGACTTCTCCGTTCTGAAAAAGAGAAAAGTGATGACACAGATAGACAGATGGTGAGACAAACTAATGGATGGAATGACAGACAGATAGACAGACACATGCATAGACAGACACACAGACAGACAGACAGACAGACAGACAGACAGACAGATAGATAGATAGATAGATAGATAGATAGATAGATAGAAATGTCACAGATTAAAGATTAAAGTAATGACACAAAGACAGATGATAGATGAATGAATGGATGGATAGACAGACATAAGCATAGACATAAGGATAGACACAGACAGACAAACAGATAGACAGACAGACAGTGGACAGACAGACAGACAGACAGACAGATGATAGACATGGTTAGACAGACAGACAGACAGACAGACAGATAGACAGATAGATAGATAGATAGATAGATAGATAGATAGATAGATAGATAGATAGATAGATAGATAGATAGATATGTCACAGATTAAAGATTAAAGTAATGACACAAAGACAGTTGATAGATGAATGAATGGATGGATAGACACACATAAGCATAGACATAAGGATAGACACAGACAGACAAACAGATAGACAGACAGACAGACAGTGGACAGACAGACAGACAGACAGACAGAGGATAGACATGGTTAGACAGACAGACAGAGGATAGACATGGTTAGACAGACAGACAGACAGAAAGAATGGTTAGACAGACAGACAGACAGACAGACAGATAGATGGATAGATGGATGGATGAACAGATGGATGAACAGATGGACAGATAGATGGACAGACAGATAGATGGATGGATGGACGGACTGACAGATAGATATGGTTAGACACAGACAGACAGACAGACAGATAGATAGATAGATGAACAGATGGATAGATAGATAGATGGATGGATGGATGAACAGATGGACAGATAGATGGATGGATGGATGGCTG